CGCAGCCACTCACGCGCAGCCACTCACACGCAGCCACTCACACGCAGCCACTCACACGCAGCCAACCAGGCTGAGTCGTGTGATGAGTCGTTTCCTCACCGTGTTCATCAGAGTGGACTCTGCATTTCCCACCAGAACAAAGACGTCTGCGTCCACACAGAACTTATCGATCCAGCTGTCCAACTCCAGGGTGACATCGGTCCCAGGGCTGGGCCAAGAGTCAAAGATCAAAGGTCACCGGTGTTAGTAAGTACTGGTACTGGCACTTTGACTAAATGCAGATGAAACTGAACCCTGTGGTTCTGACACAGAATATTATTTAAGTGAATCGTCATCAGTGGGGTCAAAGGTCAGGAGGAGGGAGCGTTACCTGTCCATGAGCACCAAGTCGTCTCTCAGCAGAGCGCAGCGACTTTTAGGCCAGAAGACTTTGACCAGTGTACCCGAGTCCAGAGTGGGATCCATGTGGAGAGCATGAGCCAGCTGGTTCACTGTCTGAGGAGGAAGGAGGCAGCGAGTCATCACCACACGCCAGCGGGCGTGTCACGAGCATCGTGATCACCGCAGGGTTTCTGTCACCTCACTCACAGTCACGCTCCTCCTCTCGGTGGACGCCTCGGTAATGAGGAAAGCCTCGTCTTCGTCGGTCCCTTCGACGCTCAGGAAACAGTTGGTGGTGTGACCGATGCCGCTGGGCAGCACTCGGTCTCTCAGCATGGCGTTGATCACTGTGCTCTTCCCGTTACTCGTCCTGATCCACAGCAAATGTACAATCATTATAATTAATATGAAAACCTTCAACGATGCTGACTAACACCAAAACCTTCATCTCAGCGCCCGCTGCATCATCGTGGCTCAAACCGAACGAAACAGCGAGCAGGTTCGGCCTTCAAAGTCGGGCAAGAAGCAGTATGACAGCACAAGAGCAGCACCACAGGTCAGAGGGCCTCACCATCCTCGGGTGAGAGCTGACGAGTTATTACATCGCCCAGTTTATCAAGTGACGGTCGTTACATCATGAGTTTCTGCAGAAATCCACGTGTCCGACTGTGAGCGTGCCTCAGCCGGGGTCGCAGATAAACCTTATCAGTGTGTTCAGCTCTGCTTTCACAGAACAAACGTTGGTTAGCTGGTCTCAGCTTTTATCAGGCTCTATACACACACACACACACACACACACACACACACACACACACACACACACACAGCTGCTGGAATCAGAGCTGAGGACAAACGGCTGTAACTGTAACGCAGCGTCCCGGGAGCTCTGAACTACGAGCTTCCGTCACCTTTGATGCAAACTCAATTTCTTTGTTTCATCGTCTCAAGTAAAAAATGAGTTCAAACGTCACAAGCATCAACATGTGCTGCTAAAAAATGGAGCGCCAACAAACAGTACAGATCCTCTACAGTCCAGCAGGGGCAGCAGTGAGTCAGTCCCAACAGCCTCCCAACATGTTTACAGCTGGACACACTCACTGTTTGGGCTCTGTGGAGAATTTCCTCCTTTAAAGCTGCAGGATGGTTTTAAATCGCTCACGTGGAGCTGTCACTGTGCCAGTGATTCAATATGATGAGAAAGGGCGGGTCTGACTGAGGAACCACACCCTCATCGGCTAACGACTTGTGATTGGAAAATTAGCCAATGCCACAGTGGGTCAAAGAGTGATATCAGCCTTTATTCTATATTCATTAAGACTCAGAACGAATGACTGAGCTCGAAAACACAGATGTCAAAGGTCAAATAAATTAATATAATTTGATCCTGTTCATTTTTTTAAATATAGCATCCAATCACAATAACAGTCGCCTCAAAGCACTTTATATTGAAAAGGATTCCCAAAGTGTGGTCTGGTGCCCCCTGGTAGGCTGCAAAGGTACTGCAGGTGCCTGCAGCAGTCAGTTTGAAATAACCAGTGTTGGTCAAGTTGAAAAAAGTAATCAGTAACTAATTACTAATTACGTCCCCAAAAAAGTAATCCCGTTACTTTATTGATTACTTATTTTCAAAAGTAAATAGTTACTTAGTTACTTTTTAAAAACACGAATAGGTGATAAAGCGATAGATCTTTCAGCCCAATTCTACCTTTTCTACATAATCCTTCATACAAAATGTAATCAAACTTGTTTTATTAGTTTTAATCTTTTAACTTTATGCATCAAGCAAACATTTAATTATCTGCAACATTCTCTGACTGGAAGAAATTAGT